ATTTATCAGATTAGCAAAATTGTCAAGAAAAAGTAAAATGACAAATGTTGGAGGAGCTACGAGAAAAATCGTATTGATGCACTTTTGGTAGACCTGTAAATTAGAACAGCCATTCTTGAAAGCATTTTGGAATTATACATAAAAAGTTATTAAATAGTGCATGTCCTTGACACATCTCTAGATGATTCCACACCCAGAAAAGACCAAAAAAAAAAAAAGGAAAAGGTCCTTATGTGTACAAAAATACTTATAGCAGCTCTTTTTTGTGGCAGCCAAAAAAAAAAAACCAAACAAACAAAAACCCAAACAGCCCCAAACCTGGAAACTAAAGGGATGCTCATCCATTAAAGAAAGGCTGAATAAATTATGGTACATGAATATGAGGGAATACTCCTGTGCTGCAAAAAATGAGGAAATGAAAATTGGATCCCATCCAAAGTGGGTGATTTTTCACAGTTTACACATTCACTAGTGGGTTACCTTTGAAAGGCTGTCTTGCATTTTGCCTTCACTTGCTCCAAATACATTTACTAAATCCTGTATTTTGAATTCTTTTCTTCTACATAGGATTCCCCCACTCCTACCTTTTTGTCCATTCCATGAGGCAGCCATTGGAGAGCATCCTCTTGTTAATCTTATCTAAACTTGACCTTCTGTTTGTATTCTCACTCAGTGTAAATCCTCAGGAAAATATTTAAGAATAATGAGATTTCCCTTTAGTGCACATGACACTGGTGCTGATGAGTGATTGGCATCCTATCTATGTTCATATTACTCAAGGGAGAGAGATTTGTCTATCCAACAATTAAAAAAAAATGGAATAGAATAGTTATACAAAACATTTGACGTGTTATCTCATTTGATCTTCACAACAACCCTGTGGTATAGGTACTCTTATTATTAAACCTGTTTTACAGATAAAGAAACTGAGTTGAAAGGGGTTAGATATGTTGTTCAGTGTCATACAGTGTCAGGGGCAGGATTTTAACTTAAGTCTCCTTAACACCAAGTCTGATGCTGTATCCTTTGGCCCCGGTTCATCTTTAAAAGAGACTTAGCACTACTTTTATTGAAAATGACCGAGATGGTCCTTAACTAAAATATCCTTTGAAGAAACTGATTTATAAATAAAGATCTTAAGGGGAAAAAAAACCTCATATGCTATTTCTGAAGAGATTGAATGTACCCTCAAAGTGAGGCTGCTAGACATATTACACAGACTGTGTAATACTCATTTTGTCTTTCTGTGATGTTGGTCTTTGTGTTTGGCATTACCAAGCCTTGGAGATTATCATGACTACCACTTTTGTGAAATGAAAAAACTGACAGGATTTGAAGAGTAAGACTCACCTTTCTAATCCATCTATTCCCTATCCTGTGCCTTAGGCCATTCTTCCTCTGCAAGAATGTAGAGCCTCCTACCTCCTGTGATTAGGAAACTACATTGCATTTCTGCATCAGTCAAAACCCTCCCTTCTTAAGGTATTAGCAAAATCCGGGCTCTTACTTATGACTGGATAGAAAAGAGACAGAATACAAAGAACGCTGGCTTTGGAATTAGAGAAACTATCTTCAAATCCCACCTCTGCTCTATCAGTGTGACCTTGGACAAATCACTTAACTTTCAGAGGCCTCAATTTTTCTCATCTGCAAAATGAGGGAGTTAAAGTATATAGCCTCAGGGGTCGCCTTCCAGTCCTAACTCTGTGATGCTCTGATCTTATGATCAGTGTCAATAGAGTTAACAGTATATGCTTTGTATATTTTCCCATTTTTTCCTATTTTTATTTATTTTATTTTAAAATTATGGATAAAACAAGTGTTTCCATAATATCATATGATAAAAAAGATGATTGCACATGAAAACTGCTAAACTGCTGATCTATTATGTACAATTTACTATTCCTTTTAAATATGCAATAAAGTTTTTTTAAACTTTTTTTAAGCCAGTAATTCTGCTTATATAATAAGACTTTTAGTTTATTCCTTCAAGCACAGTGTCTAAGTAGTTTTGACTATTATAAATACCCCAAATTAATAACAAGGAACACATGAAGGAAGATGGTTATACCATTGAGTTTATTTCTTTAAGCACAGTGACTAAGTCATTTTGACTATTACAAATACTCAAATTAACAATAAAGGATCTATGGAGGAAGATGCTATTTGTATCCAGAGAAAGAACTGATAAATAGACGTATAGAATGATTTTACGTATGTACATATAGGTACATATCCTATATGTACATATTTGCGTCTAATAGCCATTTCTAGGGCAGGTTGGACAAAGAAAAAAAAAGAAAGCTATGTGATAACTTTTATATATTTAAAAGGAATAGCAAGTTATATATAATGGCAGTTTAGTGTGTAATCTTTTTTTAATTCTACTGTTATAGAAATACTTGTCTTATTTCATAAATTCAAAATAAAATAAATAAATTTTAAAAAAAGCACAGTGACTGGCACTTAGTACTTAATAATATTTGTTGCCTTGTCTTTTTGCCAAATACTGAAATTAACTAAGAGTCTAACTTTCTTCCTGCTTTGTAAAACTACATCCTTAGACAATGAAGAATTTATGTAGGCAGGATTCTGTGGGGACCCTGTTTTTTCCATGCTGTTCTGACTTGGTGGACATAGTGATTTTAAGTCATTGATTTCGTATGTAAAAGTGGGTAAGATGGGGCTGAGAATTCAATTTCAAAGTCTATAAGATGCACCTAAAAAAAAAGGGAAATATATTTAGGATTTTACCAGAAGACTTTTATATTTATAGCAATATAGAAAGGAGTAAAGTCCCTCTTCTATCCAGTATTACACAAAAAAAATCAGGCCCCTTCCTTTTAAAAATGCTTATTTAATAACATTTCTTTTTTAAAATTTACTGATTTTTTCATCAACTTTTGTAACAAATAGTCCTTTCTTTATCTGCTACCCAGAGACACATCCCCTATCACAAAGACTAAAAAAGAAGAAAGCACTTTTGCAAACCTAACCAATCTATCAGCTGAATCTAATGGGGTGTTCCTTAACCTTCATCTTCCACCTCTGCAAAGAAAAGCAAAAATGGCATTTTTTTTCATCTCTTCTTCAGGGCAAAGCAATAATATTATCTCTAAAATTTGTTTCCATAAAAACTCCCAAATGTGTTTTTAAAAAATAAAAGTTTGTTTCTTTTGGCATAAAACCAAACCCCAGAGGGAATGTTATATACATTATGAAAATGAGAACTCAGATGATGATATTGATGTCCTTCAGTTCTTGAATGGATCTGTCATCATACTGATGCAGGCACTCCCTCCAGTGGTACAGATCACAAACCATCCCCTGCACCTCTGTGAATCTTGTCCATGTCTTCCTGCAAGTCCTCCCTGAGAGTTCTGGCCGGCATGCTGGAAGACTTCTATATCTCTTCAATATATGGGTACCATTGTAGCATATAGGCTCTGAGTCTGTTATCCTTTGTTTTCACAACACGATGCATCATCCTCCTTTCCTAGTCATACCTCTCTCTTCAATGATATATTTTAATGTCACTTCTTGTAGGCCCTTCACCCTAATATGGCATTTTTTTCACCCAACCTATATTTTCCTTTGGTGACTCTTAATTTTTATTCTATAGATATAGTGCTCTTCCATAATTTGCAGCCATCTTGGATTACCAGAAGGCAGTGATGATGTTAGAATAGGTTTTTATTTCAGAGACGACGTTGGAGTTGTTGAAAGAGCTGTGCAGTTTCCCAAATGCAATCTTGCCTCCTTCCTTTCTCTTGTTTAATTGTTGGTCTAGTACAGCATCTTTCCAAGATAAATATGCTGAGAGACCAGCACAAAGTGCTGCCCATAAAACTTAATATTGTTGTCTGGATAGTAGGCATTCTTCAGCTACTTGTTTTTTTCCTGTATGAATTATGACTAAAACTCTTTTGAATGATTATGGATATCATTTAAGAGATTCTGAGACATTCCTGTATTTGATAAAATAAACATAATGTCATCCACAAACAGGAATACCCGGAGGAATTCACTCTCTATGAGGAATCCCACTTAGATTTGGACTCTTCCCTGGAAATCCACCATGATAGGGGCAAATACCTTTGGAAAACACTGATCTCCCTAAGCATTTTATGTCTGATTTGATATCAGTAATCAGAGAATGTCGTTTTAGGATTATAGATTTAGAGCTGGAATGGATTTTATAGGGCCTCTAGACCAACCCTCGCATTTTACAGGTAAGAAAACTGAAGCCTAATTTAGTGACTTGCCCAAAGACAATAAGTGCCACACAGTAAGTAGGAAACTTAGGATCTGAACTCTTGACAAATTCAGTGCTCCAAGTTCAGTGCTCCTTCCACTGCGTCATATCACCTTGTTGGTTATTGGATTAGGATGCCACATTTAGAGTATTAGCGGTTAGTATTTATAGATCTAAAATTTTTCATTTGAGTATCTTTTCCCAACATTGTCCCATTATCATTGCAGCATGGAAGGGGCAACACAAGGCAAAGGACTGTCTTGTGTTTTTTCTTTTTTTTTTTTTTTGGCCAAGTACTTGATCATCTAGTAGCTATCCTCCTGATGAAAAGCTTTTCCACTATTGGCTAGGCTGGTCCATTGGCAGCAGACTCAGTCTGTTACTGTGTCCATGCTCAAATGCTAGAATCTATCAGAGCTTGTGAAGCACTGATATATTCTTCTAGAACTCATGGTCATCTCTATACTACTTGGAGGAGTGCTATAGTGATAAATCATATAAATGTTTATGTTGTTCATAAATAACTTTTACATCTGATTAAAAAGTAATGATTAGTGATGAGTTTAGATTTTCACTTTGTACAAATGAGATTAGGACTAATTGTAGTAGAGAGGCAGTTCTGTCAAAACTCAATTTATTAATGTAAATGTAAACAGAAACCATTGTTTCCTCTTTATGTGTAGATTATGCAATATATCATTTATTTTCTAGCAGGATTAATTTTTTTTTCTTTTCAAAAAAACAGATTCTGTTGGAGCCAGGAGTGATCCAGGATGTATTAGCAGCTGGAAGTCATCTTCAGCTACTGGAACTCCTCAATTTGTGTTCCCACTATCTCATCCAGGTATTTATTCTTTCCTTACCAATACACCTTTCATATTCTTTTCTCCTGTGTCTTGAGTGGCAGCCTTGCCATCCTGGCTCTTTTTTAGGCATCATAACATCACATTTCACTCGGGAGGCCAGTGGCCCATTGTTGTAGGGATTCCTCTGCACAGTTAACTCTGTGAAGGATAAGTGGCTAGAGTTCTGTAACCTTTTTCTGTGGCAGAGATTTTGAAACAGTGGAACCCTGTCTCACTAAACTCTCTGGGCCTCCCAGACAATATCTTAGAATCCTAGATTTACAGCTGGAAGGGATCTAGGAGGTCATCAAGTCAAGTTCCACTATATTAGAGGAAGCTGAGGTTAAGTAACTTGCCCGAGATCACACAGGTATCTAGTCGCAGGGTAGGGATTTGGACTCAGGTCCTTTGAGACTAAAGCTAGTATTATTTCTAGTATATAGTTCTCTAAATTTATAAAGCACTTTCCTTAACTATGAGGTAGGTAGTTCAGGTATCATAATATCATAGACTTGGGGCTGGAAGGGATCTTAGAGGCCTTATAGTCCAGCCCCTTCTTTTATAGACTAGGAAACTGTGACCCAAAGAGGTTAATAATAGTTAACAGTATCTAATAGCTAACATGTATATAGCACTTACCGTGTATCAGGCACTGTACTAGGCACTTTGCAATTATCTTATTGATCCTCACAACAACCCTGGCAGGTAGGTGCTATTATTGTCCCCATTTTACAGAGGAGGGAACTGAGGCAGAGGTTAAGTAACTTGCCCAGGCTCACATAGATATTATATGTCTGACGCCAGGTTGGAACTCAGGTCTTCCTGACTCCAAGCCTGGCACTCTGTCCAGGATCAAACGCTTATAAGGGGTGTGTTTTAATGAAAGAATTGAATTGACTTGTATTTGGCATTTTAGCATCACGCGTGCATTACAGCCTGAGCTTTATGTATTATCTGACTAACTTTGAAGCCCTAGGCAGTTAAAAGACAATGATATGTGTTGACAACATTCTGGTAACAGTGTTTTGATTATTAAGAAACATGATAAGTAAGTTCTGTAGAATTCCAGATGAAGTCAGGGGGCTCATAGCTTGGGCTTTTTTTTTTTCCCCAATAAAAAATTTGAGACATCAAGTGACTTGCTGTAGGTCAATATAGAATCTTGACATTTTACACTCATGGTTTGTTTTCTGATGCAAAGCAACAACAAATACAGTTAGGATTTCCATGGATGGTCGTAGTCATTCAGGAAGCAAGAGGCATTCTGAGCATTTGAAACTCACATCGCCTCATGTGAGTTTCTGCAGTGTTGTTTGCAAGCTTTTCTTTTTCCACTGTGTTCTTCCTTTGTTTTGTTCATTGGTATTTTCTAATTTTAGCAGAGGGGCAGCTAGGTGACACAGTGGATAGAGTGCCAGCCCTGGAGTTAAGAGGACCTGATTTCAAATCCAGCTTCAGACACTTAGTAGCTGTGTGACCGTGGATAAGTCACTTAACTCTGTTTGCCTCAGTTTCTTCATCTTTAAAATGAGCAGGGGAAGGAAATGGCAAACCATTCTAGTATCTTTGCTGTACTAGACAATAACAAAAGAAAACTGTGGCAGAACTCTTGATGTGGGAAAGGGGTACTTTGACTATAGCATAACAGCTTGTAAGGCCATTATATCTTCTCCAGAACTAGGGATCTTCATCTTCTCCATGCTCTGTAGCTGTGCCTTGTTTATCTTTGGAGTAAGATACCTCTGGGTGGGGTCAGTATGCCTCTTGATTTGGGGAGAATCATGTAGCTGTTAATGTTTATCATGTATTAATATGTATTATTAAGCTGCTTATCATGTATTAATATTTCATTGCTCAGATGCATCTTATTTTAACATATTATATCCCTATGGGCTTGGGGGGGTGGTGGTAAACACATTCAGATAGTATATTTTATGAGATAAGAAGCTTCCAGCTTATGTTTGGAAGAGTGCCTTCCCAAAGTTATAATGGATATAGATCTAATTCAATTTGGTAAAAATATTCCACTAAGAAATGATTGCAGTCACTCAGGTAAGTGAATATTTTAATGAAATAGATCTTATTGATTCTTTTTTTTATATCGGTGTCATTTCTCAGTGATTTTTCTTTCTTCATAGGAGCCTCCCATGTTAAAAATACATATTGTTAAGGAAAATAAACACATACACACACACACACACACACACACACACACACCACACACACACGTTAGCCATGCCTCACAAATTACACTTCAGTTCCTGACTGTGGTCAGCCCTTCTCTGTCTAGAGGAGAGAGAAATGCTTCACCACCAATTCTCTGAAGTTAAAACTGGTCACTATATGTATCAGAGTTCTGATATAATTTTGTTTTGTTCTGTAATCTTCACATTTTCCAGAGCTACATACAATATACCTGAGACACCACTACTTATGTCTGCATTTCTGTTATAGTTAGGTTAAGTCAACTAGCATTTATTAAATACTCACTATGCGTTAGGCACTGTGCTAAATAAGCACTTCTGCCTTTGTTTGGAAGGCGAAAAATAGTCCCTGCTTGTAAGGAATTCATGGTGTAATAGGGAGACAACATATAAATAACCACATACAAGCAAGATATATACAGGGTGATTTGAAGCCAATCCCAGAGAGAAGGCTCTAGTATTAAGGGGTATTGGGAGAGGCTTCTTGAAGAAGGTACATTTTTAGCTGAGACTTGAAGGAAGCTGGAGAAACCAGGAAGCAGAGTTGAGGGGGATATAGTGGTAGCCTAAGGATACTTTCCTTGAGGTAACTACCTGTAGCTCCCCTGTCTGCCTACCCTGTGGCCCAGGGGATTCCTCTCTATATTTCTTAATTGCTACTGAAGTCAAAGAGATGGGAACTCATACCATTGAAGTGACATGCTCTCTTTTTTATTTCTGGAGAGTACTACGTCATCTTCATCCTCATAGAGGATCACATAGCGTGTTGAGGTTTGCAAAGTTCTTTGTGTATATTTCCTCAATCGATCTAATGACTCTGTGAAGTAAGATCTGTAGGTATTATACGTATTTTCAGATGAGGAAACTGAGGTTCATAGAAATAATTGGCAAGTCACCCAGAGAGGTAGGAGTAGAATGCAGGTCTCTATTGATGTCAGTGTTCTTTCCAGTATACTTCAGTTCGTTAGGAGTAGGACACCAAAGGTTGGAAGATCTTTACTACCTCAGAGATATATTTCATTCTTGCTCCATGGCAGCAACAGTTAGATTCCGGAGAGGCATTGGGTACTGATGCTGTAGCTAGCAAAAGGGATAACACTGGAAGCCTCAAAAGGTCTTCAGTACCAGATTAGGGGATTTATTTTTCAGTTACAAATTGGTAAGGATATATCTTCTGTCACCTATAATTTAATGAGGAACTAGAGGTTGTTTTCCATATAGTTTATTATGATACCTAACTTTCAAACTTTATCAAGTATCTGAAATGTACTAGCTTCAGCTCCAATTAAGTATAACTTTGCCTTTTTGCTTTCTGTATTTCACAAAGGACCTCCCTGTTTGTATTTGACCTTCTAAAAAAAATACAAGATGTGTCAGTTGATGTTAGAAGTTGAGCAAGATGTATGAAATTAATAGCTCGCAATATTTCCCCTAGTGTGCTTTTTAGAATTCATGCATCTGCATATGCTTTTCACATTCAGCATATTCCAGCTACAATTATTTAGAAGTTGTGGGGTTTGATAATAGAGGTTTTCACTACGTCCTGACTTGCTGAGTCTCTTTTTCAAGGTTGGATTCTTTGTCTAGCCTAATCTTGAAAATGATGGTGTCTGAATTCCTTTATAACTATAGTAAGAGACACCTATATGGAAATAAGCACTTTAACAACAAAGAAACAGATTAGCCCTGGACTGGAAGGTGTGGTGCTACTAACATGTGCTGCCCTTCAGATACAAAGATAATGTTTTGACATCATTTATATGACATTTGGTTTGACATGTTTGTTTTAATACTCACAAGGGGCAGTGTGCCAAAATCTTTATGGGCATTTAGGGGCTAAAAACATTAAAATAATTTATTTATGAGATGAAAATCTTCATAGCTTATGTTTTGTTTTGAAGTAGCACCTTCACAAAATTATAATCTGAAGATCTAACCCAATTTGGCAAAAGGTTCAAATAAGAATTTAGGAAATGATTCTAGTCAATACAGGTAACAGATTTTGTTTTAATGAAATAAATGGTTTATTGATTCTTTTTGTACATCAGTATTAAATTTCTCAGTGACCCTTCCTCCTCCGTGATTCCCTCCCATGTAAGAAAGAAGCGTACTTAAAGAAAATTATGCTACTGCGACTGCACACTGCTATTTTTTGCCCAATGTTCCTCATGTTTATTAGCACCCTTTTAGTTGGAATACGTTAATATGATATGGTCTAAAAACAATTGGCCATCTTTTGCAGTCTGCACTACCATATTTTGTGTATCTCAGTCTCTTTCCCAGCAGGATAGGATAAGAATAAGAATAGAAATATAGAGTGCTTTACAGTTTCAGAGTACTTTATGTTTACTTTCTAATTGGCTCCTTATTTCATAGATGAAGAAATGGAGACTGAGACAGTGTCTGAGGTTGAAATTGTTCACTGCATGTACCAGAGTTCTGATCTGGTTTTGTTTTTATTTTCTTTAATCTCCACATGTTCCATATCTGTATATAATATACCTGATAGACCACTACCCATGTCTTCATTTCTATTATAGTTAGCAAATCAATGAGTATTTATTAAGTAATCACTGTGTGCTAGGCAATGTACTAAGTAAATACTTTTGCCTGTGAAGGGCAAAAAATAGACCCCACCCATAAGGAGCTCAAAGTCTAATGGGGAGATAGCATACAAGAAGCATAGTTAAGCTAAGTGCAGAGGAATAGGGAGTGTTTCTCTCCATTTCTTCATTCCTTCCCCAGAAAACTCATTATTGGGAAATCTCATATTGCAGCAAGATTGAATCTTCCTG